GCCCACCCTGGGGCCCCTGATAGAATCGCCCCACTCTCTGGGGCTGGGGTCTACATACCCCACACACAACCCGGGGTCTGTGTCCCCCATCCACAACCCACTGGTTGCGCTCCTCACAGTCACCTGCACCCGCCCTGGCGCTATGAGGATTATGCGCCCTCCTGGCGCTGGACTGCGCCCCACTGGCGCTAGGGCCCCCCACACTCTCTGGGGTCCCTATGCAAACAGAGCGCCCTCCTCAGGCCCCGAGGCCCCGCTCTCTGGGGTCCCTATGAGGTTCAGCCGCTCCTCTCTGAGCTTAACTGACCCCACAACTCTGCCCTGCAACTCTCAGGGCCTAGTGTGCCCTCACTGGCACCGGGGGCCCCACTTTACCGTGAGCCCCACCTATGAGGCCTCCTCCAACCCCTACAGCCTCACCCAAACCTCCAGTGTAATATCAAAGCCTGAACATAAACTCGAGCCTCCTGGCTATAACTCAAACATAAGGCACTGAGCCATACCAACATAAGCCTCCTGGCTGTAACAACATAGCTCCTGCACCACAGAGCCACCATCCTTCAGCCTGCTCAAACATTGCTTGTATCTTAGCCCCGTAAGCTCCTGCTCCTGCTGGCAGAGAACTGCCAGCTTGGCCTCAGCCCTGGGCTTTATAAGGGCCAGGCCCCTACAGGCAGCTGGCTCCCCTTAGTTGCTCCAGCAACCCGCAGCTGTGCTTGTTATCCTGGCCACCCTCAGCTGGGCTCGTTGTGCTCTGCCAGGGCTCTCTCCCTGGCAGTTTTCTCCTCTCTAGGAGCAGGCACTAAGGTGCCCTGCGACAATGAGAAATACTCATTGTAGAACATAGGCTCTAGATCATCCCTGATCAGTGGCTGCCCAACCTTTTCTTGAACACCACCAGTGAAGGAGAGTCAACAACTTCCCTTGGCGATCTGTTCCTTTGCCTCACTGTTCTAACAGTGAAAAAGCTTTTCCTGATTTCTAAATTAAACGTACTTTGCTGCAACTTCAAGCCATTAATCCACATCCTCTTCTCTACAGCAAGAGAGAAAAGGTGTTTTCCCTCTTTGTTATGGCAGCCCTTCAGATATTTGATGACTGCTATCATGACCCCTCTTAAGCACCTTTTCTGCAAGCTGAACATGCCTAGCTCCTTCAGCCTCTCCTCATATGACTTGCTTTCCAAGCCCTTTATTGTCTTTCTTGCCTGCCTCTGGACCCTCTCTAACTTCTCCATGTCCTTTTTAAAATGTGGGGCCCAGAACTGCACAGAATACTCCAGAGAAGGCCTAACGAGTGCTGAGTAGTGAAGTCACACACTTTGTCTTGCACCTAATGCTTCTACTGATGCATCCCAAAACTGCATTAACTTTCTGTGCAGATGCATCATACTACAGACTCATTGAATCTATGATCTACCAAGACTCCCAGGTCCTTTCCGTAGTGCTGCCACCCAGCCAGGTGTCACCTACTTTATATTTATGTTTTTAATTATTTCTGCAAAGGCGTATCACCTTGCATTTGTCCACATTGAACTTCATCCTGTTAGCTCTACCCCAACTTCCTAATCTGTCAAGATCCATCTGAATTGGGCTCACATCTTCCATGTTCACAATCCTTTCCAGTTTCATGTTGTCTGCAAACTTGCTCAAGCTTTCTATGCCAGTGTCCAAATTAATGAACACATTGAATAGCACTGGCCCCATGAGAGACTCCCCTGGGGCTCCACTCAAAACCTCCTGCCATTTTGACATGGACCCATTAATAATTACCCTTTGCTTACAGCTATTGAGCCAGTTATTTATCCACCTTGTAGTAGTTTTATCAAGACCACATTTCTCTAATTTATTTATGAGAAGGTCATGCAGGACCTTGTCAAAAGCCTTGCTGAAGTCCAGATATGCTATACCACAACATACCCTTCATCCAGTCAAAGTAGTTACTTTGTCAAAGAAGGAGATCAAGTTTGTTTGATATGATTTGTTTTTCATAAATCCATGCTAGCTGCTTGTAATAAGTTTTTCCTCTTCCACATGATTGCAAATGACCTTCCTTAGGATATGCTCCAGTAACTTTCCAAGTATTCAGTTGAGGCTAACTGGTCTGTAGTTCCCCATGTCCTCCTTCTTGCCTTTTTTTAAAGAGGGGCACTATGTTGGCCCTTTTCCAGTCCTCTGGTAGCTGGACTGTCTCCCACGACTTCATGAAAATCATTGCCAAGGGCTCTGAGATCTCCTTTGACATGTCCTTCAGCACCCTGAGAAGAAGTTCATCTGGCTCTGCTGACTTGAATTCATTCAGACCCAACAAAAACTCCCTGACTGTCTCTTTTGTTATCTCCTCCCTCAGTTTGCATAGCTAGCTGGGAAATGACAGATTCCAGATCACCTCCTAAAGAGCACAACTGCAACAATCCTATTC